ATATCCATTTCATTCTTTCTACCACACAGTCCTCTCTTCTTTATTTTGCCTTCTCTTATTTAGAGGAAAGGGGCTGTAGTACTCTACAGGGCCTGAGTTCAGAAATTTGTACCACTCCTTGGCTCACTGGAAGGGCCCACACCAACGGTTTCTTCTGAAAGGTCAAATTCATTGACTTACGTGTAGAGGGGAAACCATGATAGTAATTCTTTCAAGGGAGCACCAGCAACTTAAATATTTAATTATAAACATTGAGCCAAGGCACCACTATGCAGCTATGAAGAACAAGACTAATTCTTTTAACCTTCCTACTGTTTATACTTAGGTCAATGGCTGTAATTAGTAATTTTTTGACCTGCTGTTCATGAGTAATTACTCAAAAGTAAGAATATAAAAAAAAAATCAAGGAATAACAAGAAAGTGTCAACTATTTTTTGCCTTCTTATTTCTAAAAGTTGACTCACTCTCCTATTCTTTTAATGTTCTATCTCAATACCTAGCATGTGTATTTATTTTTGGAACCCAGCCAGATCCTGGGTCTGAATTCCAGCAGTTTATTTCCCAGTTTCCATGAAACGAGGCCCAAAAAATGTGAACTTCTCAGAGAACTACACACAACATGACAAAAGTTTAAATTATACATACATGCCTTCCTCCATTAAAAATTTTAGCTTTTCAAAGGAAATGAGTAAGGCCATTAGTTCTAGAAGTCTAATCTTTCTTTCTACCTGGTAGCAAATGTGTGCTCATGATAGAATTTAATACCCAAAGTGCTAGGCACTTTGTCTGACTAATCTGAAGAATGTCTATTCCACTTAAATTGCCGGTATTTTGATTCCAAATTCTTGTCAGAGTTTTTTTTAGATTTTGAGAAATTTAGAGTTCTAGGATCTGTCTGAACCAGTTCTCCAGGAGCCAAGAACGGCTGAGGGATGTTACCAAGCAGCAGTGGCTTCAAGGGTAACAAGTCCGTGTGGACATCCCAGGACTGTGCAAAGTGAATGTGCTGCTAGGAGAGCTGGAAAGTACACCTTCCAGGCAAGGTGAGTACCAATGAGAGTCATGGACCAGAGCAGACTGGTGAGTTTGGAGACAGTCAGCTAAGCAGTAGACAAGCTGGATGGGCAGAGCAGATGTACTATACTACAAAGTAAGTAAGAGCTAGAAAGTAAGAGCTAGGAAGGGACAAACAAAATGGCACAAAATTTGGTACAGTGGACACTCCTCCGTGAAAGAGCATTGGTTGTGGTGCTAATCTTATAACCAGGTCTCTTCACCACGCTGGGAGTGTGAACTTGTGGTACCCCATAAAATCAGCACTCTCTCTGTTTGAAGCCCAAATCTGATTTCCTGTATTAACTGGATCCAGCCCCTGTTAGGTTTAAACTGTTAATGTTCATTTTGTCAGTCAGTGTTTCTTCTTGGTAATAAGCCCGAGCTTAGGGTTAAGGTTTTATCATGGCTTCACCATGAGATGCCATGTACCCAGGTCAGGAGGTGAGCCACAGAGTGTAGGCTTGTGGGGAAGGGAGAGTGTAAGTCAATTGAGGAGACAAGGGTGTGATGGAACAACAAAGGCAAAGTTGATGACTGTGAATAAAGATGAAAACAAAATATGCTAGTTGAAAACCAACAATCAGAGAGGTGGCCTGAGACCAAGGCCAGAACCTTGCAGAAGTAAAGGTAGCAGGGAGCAGGGCCTGGGAAGGCAGGGAACCCAGTTTAATTCCCAAGGTTGATGTCTCAGGCACCCTCCACGTTTCACCATGCAAACTGCCTTCAAGTTTATCATGACATGGGGCAGAGTAGATGGAAGGATTCTTTGGAACTGTACAATGACAATGCAGTTTTTACTTTAGAAGGCATTTATCAGGCTTCGAGTTTAAAAGTCTTACTTAGGTCAGCTCCTACCTACTTTTACGACTTTAAGCAAACTTCCAGTTTCTTCAGCCTATAAAATGGAAATAATAATAGGGCCTATAGCTCAAAAGGTTTAGGAAGCTTATGTGAGATAGCATGCCTGTTCCAGAGCTGGACCTCAGCAGAGGTAGTCATATTATGACAAAAGCAACCCCAGGAAATCTTGTTGGCTCAGATGCTCAGGAGGGAGTGTTCTGCACAGAGGCCTGCCAAGTTAGAAAAGCCTCCTGTGAAGGCAGGAAAGAATTGTTACTTCCATTCTACAGATGCAGAGATCAACAGTTACAGGGTACAGCAGAAGAACCTTCCCCCAACTAATGAAAAAAAGAATATTGTTTATTTATACATCATTCCATAAATCACAATGAATTTTGACATTTGTCTTTTTGAAGGCCCTGTTGTGTTGTAGACCTGGGAAGTGCCTGAGAAATGTATGAGGGAGAGAAGAGAAGGTGGCTTTAAGAGTCAGCCAAAAAACCCTCCAAAAACAAAACAAAACAAAAAACCTCCCAGAGTTTAAATCATGCAGTTGGCTCATCCACTGTAAGTAGAGGAAGACTCATGGTGTGATATGCCCTCACATCCTGCATTGACAGCAAGTTCAAGGTCTGTTACCTGCAAGGTCCCATGTGATCTGACCCTATCAAACTTTCCATTTTTATATCATCCACCCCTCTCTCTCTTGCTATATGCTGAAAATGTATTCCTCCAAAGTTTGTATGTTGAAACCTATTCCCCCAGTGTAATGGTATTTGGAGGTGGGGCTTTTGGGAGCTGATGAGGTCATGAGGGTAGAGCTTTCACAAATGGAAACCATGACCTTATAAAAGAGACTCCAGAGAGCTCCCTTGCCCCTTCTGCCATGAGTGGACACAATGAGAAGATACCATCTACAGACCAGGAAGTGAGCCCTCACCATATACTGAATCTGCCTGCACCTTGACCTTGGACTTCCCAGCCTCCAGAACTGTGAGAAATAACTGTCTGTTGTTTATAAGCCACCAAGTCTGTGGTATTCTGTTATAGTGGTCTGAACAGATTAAGACACTTACTATACTACAATAACACTGGCTTTCTTCTTTTTTCTGAAACATCCCAAGACTTTCCTGCCTCGGCCAAACTTACAAAGCTCTTTGTATGTCTGATTTGTTATTTCTCATCCATCAGGTCTTAGTTCAGATGTCAGCTTATCAGAAAACTCTTCTTTAATCACCCCATTTAAAGTAAATCCTTCTCTTCATACCTCCACCTCATAGACACTATCATGCTAGAACCCATCATTTTTGTTTCTTTTTTCTTAATAACATGGGCCAAACCTGAAGTTATCATGCACAGACATATTTATTGCCAGTCTCCTTCTAATGGAATATAAGCTCCATCAGTGTTTCAATGTGAGGTAGCAAGTCTTGGCCATGACACAGAAAATCAGCCAAGTATTAGCTTTGTTATGTGAGTTGCTAACTTCTGTTTGGTACCTGCTATTTTCCCACCAGTCCGTATCATCATATCACAGCTGAACAATGGTTTGTGTTTTATCGTTCCAAAGCACTGTTGTATAACTTAATCAATCAGATACTTATAACAACTTCTCTAGGTGAGAATGTTTTTCATTTTTAAAGATGAGGAAACTGAAGTTCAGGAAAGCTAAGTTACTTGCCCATGGTCACATAGTCCATAAAGACTACGTTTGATGTGAAACTTGTTTGTTTTCACTCCAAGACCTATAGTGTCTGGGATGCGTATTTGGCCATACTAGCCAGCCTTGCCTGAAATGAAAAGAAAAAAGATAACAGAGATATTATAACCCTAGCCCTGACTGGTATGGCTCAATTGGTTGGGTGTCATCCCACAAAGCAAAAGGTCGCTGGTTTGAGTCCTGATCAGGACACGTGTCTGGATTGTAGGTTCAGTCCCTGGTCAGGGTGCGCATGAGAAGCAACCAATCGATGCATCTCTCACACATTGATCTTTTCCTCCCTCTTTCTCTCTCTCTTCTCACCTCTCTAGAGATAAATAAAATCTTTAAAAAAAAAGAATTTACAACTCTAACTCAATAGAAACATAGCAAAGAACATTTAAAAACAGGACTTGGGAAAATTACATAAATCTCTAAGATAGAACACAGTTCAAAACAAAAAAGGATATAATGACTCAGATGCATGAGTGGCTAAGGAATGAAAAAGTGCAGTTGACATAAGAGCAAATGCAGGCTCAGATGCCTATGACAGAGTGTTCTGCACAGAGGCCTACCAAGTTAGCAAAGCTTCCTGTGAAGGCAGGAAAGAACTGTGATCCTACAGATGAAAACACACAAAGTCTCTTGTGTGGGAAAAGTCCTGAGAAGAGGGAGAGAAACAGTGCTTCGCTTTAGCAGAGAGTCTGCCTCCACTAGTATCACTGAGAAGGGCCTGGATGTCGGAGTGTGAGAGATGGATGGACTGCTGGGATGGACCACGCAGGAGAACAGGACTTTACAGCTCTTTGGATCAGAATGTTTGCTGTTTGGAAGCACATCAAAGGAAGAGATGTGTAAGAATCTGTCTTGTGAGTTAGTTCAGAACCAGAAAGTTTTTGGAGGTTTTGTTTTTCAAAGATTGACAGAAAGTCTCTCATTTTGTATTTCCAATCACACTGTGGGTTTACTAAAAGGAGACAAATTTTTTTTCATTGCATTCCCTACATAGGAGGCAGTGCCTTGGAAACAATATTAGCTTTAAGAGAAAGCAGAGTTCTTACCAATGTTAAGTTCCATTTGGCATTCAATCTCAGCATACTACTTGAATAAAAGTTATTTCCAACAGCATTGATAAGATCATAAGTTTAGTTTGTGTCTAAAACACTTAACACTTGAAACAATTTAAAAGGCAACTTCTAAAGGTTAAATTAAAAGATGAATTTTCCTTTTACCCCAGTCTAATTCAACAGTCATTTACCAAACATCAAATGTGTGCAAGACATCATTAAATTGAAAGTCAGACTCAATCTATGTGCCTTATTTTTTGTCCATTAAGGTATTTTATTTGCACATACTTATTACATCCTTAGAAAAAGAATCCCAGGATTTTTCCTCCTGTGTGTTTTCACCTTACTTCTTCACGGTCCGTGATGCCCGCTGAGGTTGTCAGTACAATGAAACCAGAATGACGGGACAGAAGCAGGTTGTTCTGCCATTTTTCTAGATCTTTCCGTTTTACATCAAATCTTGGGCTGATTACTCCACACCTGTTTAACTTGCCTGTTAGGTTCCCAACAATTTTTCCAACTCTGTTGTCATCAATCAGTTCAAATTCACCAATGTAATTATGCTTCATCCTCACAATTAGAAATGGGGTGATGACTTCGGAGCACGGCTTAATAAGAACCTGGTGTTTGCCCTGACTGGTTTGGTTCAGCAGGTTGAGCATCTTCCCACAAACTGAAAGGTCACTGGTTTGATTCCCAGCCAGGGCCCCTGCCTGGGTTGTAGGCCCCTGGTTGGGGGCATGCAAGAGGCAACCAACTGATGTTTCTCTTACACATTGATGTTTCTCTTCCTCTCTTCCTCCCCCCGTTCTCCCCTCTCTAAAAATACATAAATAAAATCTTTTTTAAAAAAGAACCTGGTGTTTGCCTCTCTTTTTGGCATTGTTGATACTCTTGACAGCATCATGCAGAACATTCGTGAACACCATTATGGAGGCACAGAAAGATGGCAGGAAGAGTTCGTGTTATTTTTTTAAACAGGTTTTCCCAGTATCATGTTTGCACACTGTCCTCAACATCTTTCTCACAGAGATTCTAAAGAAGATCCCTTATAATAGTCATTTATCTTCTTTATCCATGAATATATTTTTGTTTTCATCATTGCTATGCATAGTTTAAGCGCTGTGGATAACAGGGAAAAAAAAAGAAGGAAGGGAGGAAGGGAAGCAAGAGGAAAGGTCCCTGGCTTCTAGAAGTTAACAGTCTAACAGGGAAGCTGGCAATCATACAAAACTATGAATGGTATAACTAGAGAGCAATTATTTCCTCACTAGCCAAGCTTTACACACACACAGACACACACACACACACAATTTATGTGGTGGGGCAGAAACCATCCTGGCCAATAAATGAAATTTCCTGGGTCTCAGTTCTCTCTCTGTGTGATGAGGAAGCTGGATCAGATGTTTGCTGAGATTCTTTATAGCTCTAAAATCCTGTAAGACATTTAACATTTATTGAGCATTTGTTGTATATTAAAAAAAAAGAAGTATTTTTCTAGGAGATGCAGAATGTACAGCGTGAATAAAACTCATTTGGCTTTAAAGAGATTATAATTTATTGGCAGGATACCAAATGCAAACAACTGCCTGTATTAGAAGGGCATGAATAAGGCGCTGGGGCAATGAGAGGAAGGAGGAATTAATGCAAATGCAGGATAGAGAGGGATGGAACAATGAAAGAACAAACAAATTAGTTTATGGAGAGTAGAGATATGAAGCTACCTGGGTGTGAAGGACAAAGAATGTTAAAGGAAAGAATGAGAAAGGTAAGGAGAGAACCTCAGAAAGGACCGGCTGTTGCGAAAGATCAATACTAAGCTGATTTAGCTTGGAACTTGGAAAAGATGACATGAGGTGAACTAAATCAACCAGCCCAAGGTCTTGGGGAACTACCTAAAAATCAGTTTCACTCTGAACTCAAGGATCGTGCCAAAGAGCTGGTAAAATAAGCCTTGGTTTAGTGCAGAAGAAATGGGCCAAGACAGATTGTACAGCGGATGCTGCTGTGTTGAAACTGAAGAGCAGCAAGAGAGCAAGAAGGCTGTGAAAGTGCAGAAGCTGGACAGATGAATAAGGATATTCAGAACTGAGGAAATCTTCACTTGTCATCCAGGCAATTTAAGGACATTTCAAATGAGGAATTTCCTAACCGATGGAGTGTTTATATTTCCAGGGCTTCTCATAGGGCAGAAAAGCAGTTCATTTCACTATAAAATGGCAGATTGACTGGGAAGTTTTGGATGATTCTGTCCAGAGGAGGAATTATGAAGGGGACTCAGGGATTAGATCATATCAATAAGGCTAGAAAACCCAATGAAAGAATCCTGAGTAATTAAAATCTGAGTAGTGCCAATCAACAGGAAACCAGGGAGCATATGTTTGAGGGTGCCTCCAACTTCACACGGCAGACATGCCAGACATGCCCTATAGGTAAAGCTCAGAAAGCTGGAGATGGGAACAGGTCAGGGTGCCAAGCCTTGGTAGACAAGGTCTAAAGATGGCTGTGATTTGGACTGATGGAAAGAGGGTGATGGTGTTATCAATGGAGAAGACATTTCCTTGAAGGCTGGGTAACAATGCAGAAGGTGGAACCAACAGGATTTATTATAGATGAGATGGCACAGAAGAGAGTCCAGCCAGAGAAAAGATACTTCCCAGGGGACAGCAATCAGGAATAAGTGCTTAAGTGTCAATAATGTAAGATGGGAGCAAAGGCTTACCCCAAAATCTGAAGCCTAGAAAATTTGTTTTAAACACATGCAAGAGAAAATGTCATTTTTCCTACATTACAGCAGGGACCAAGACCGTAGGACCCAGGGTCCAGGTGTGGAGCTCCAAGACTCATGTTGTTACAGGTACTTCTGAGATACCTTGTCTTCTAACCCAGTCCTCTAATGTATCCAATTATTTTTACAAATGCAATCATTTCAACTGCAGGGCCATTCAGAACCACTTTATTTGTTCAAAAGCCCTTCCAGGGGATCTGTGACTGTTTCAAGGCCCTCTCTGCCAGTGACAGCTACTCTGTGGTTATAGGACAGTCTGACTTCCTCCAGGCATACGGGTTCCAGTCACCAATCCTCCAGACAGGCCAGTGCATCCAAGACCGGGGAGCATCATCTGAACCTGAGTGGGTTTGCTTGGGATTTCCCCCATGTGACTAAAAGAAGCTTCCTTCTTGACAAAGGCTGAGTTGGCCACTCAGATTTCTTTTTGGCTAGGATACAAATTTTGGTCTTCTTCTTAAGGAATCTTAGGTCATGGAAGCAAATGAAGTACATGTGGAAGTTTTAATCCTTTGAAGTGCAAAAAGATGCCTGTCCAGGTGACATCCAACATGAAGATACTTAACAAAAAACTGTTGAGTGGCCCTTCATTGTTATGGGTCTTGAGCAACTTAAAGGGGTTCTTGAGCAGCATAATACATACCTATTTTAGGGGACCTTGTAGGGATAAGGTTTTTTTCATTGTTTTCCTCTAATAAATTTTATAACATATATAACAAAAGATGAATCCCATATTTTACCCAGATAATAGCTCTAGAATCTGGTCAGAGGCAAATACTTGGTAGGGAACGGCGGCTGAATGGCACACTGTGTCAAGTACATGGACGCTGGGGAACCAGAATGCCTGGATTCAAATTTCAACTCTATCACTTACTGCTTGTGCGAGCTTCAGAACACTACTCAAATTCTATGTCTTACGTACAAAATTGGCATACTAATATTACCTTCCTTATGGAGTTGTGGAAATTAAAGTGCTAACACATGTGGATCTCTCAGAATAGAGCTTGGCACATAGTAAGTTCTCAGTAAGTGCCAGCCATAGTAGTTGTTGTTTATTGTCATACTCGCTACTTGAGTTATGAACCCTGGGGCAGGTGCGTCCCCACTGCAGGTGGAACTTCTTTTCTTAGCCACAATGCAGAGCGAGTCATGGTGAAATTATGCTGCCAACTTCCTGAACTATTAAATTACTTGAGCTTTTCTACATACAATCACTATTTTTTTTAAAGTTACCCTTTCTTTTTGAAGTTTGCAGATTACACAGGCTCTTTCCTCAACCCCACCTTTCCTTTTCAAGGACATGAAATCCCAAAGAAAGTGATTTGAAAATGATTTCTTTCATTGCCACCCTTTTGTAGTCCCTTTTCCCCATTCATTCTTCTGCCTCATTTGAACCTACAGAAAAATGATACTTCATTCATTACATTGTCATCCATATTTGGCAACTTATAACTGCTTTGTATACGTATACATGCCTCTCATATGCATGACTCAATGTGTACTGTCCCTTCCCTCTCCTTACAATGGGGGTCACCCTAGAGTGGGGGAATAGCATACATTTGGTTAGCAGTATATGAGGTAATGTGCAGTTTTTCATTGTCCTAGAAAGAAGATCTGGGATGTGCATGATTAGCCCTACATTTCACTTTAGACTCATCCTGATACTGTCTTAACTATATGGACTTTCATCAGTGTTCAAACACCCTGTTGGTTGGCAAAATAATGCTGTCTCTTCCCAAAGACATCCATGTTCTAAGCCCTAGTATCTGTGAATATATTAGGTTATATGGCAAAGGGGAATTAAGGTTGTGGATGGAATTGAGGTTTTCACCCAACTGATCTTAAAATAGAGAGATTATCCCGGTGGGCCCAATCTCAAGGGTCCTTAAAATCAGAGAGGGATGCAGAAGTTAGAGATTGGAATGATGCAATGTGAGAGGGATTCAACTTGCTATTGCTGCCTTTACAGAGGGACACAGGGGACCAGGAGCTGGAGAACGTGAACAGTGCCTGGAAGCTGGAAAGGGCAAAGAAGTGAACCATCCCCCGCGGCCTCCACAAAGGCATACAGCCTTGCTGCCACCTTGATTTTAGCCCACTGAGACCCACAGTAGCCTTATGGAACTCCACAATAATAAATTTGTACTGTTTTAAGCCACTAACTTTGTGGCAATTGTTATAGCAGCCATAGGAAACGAACACACTTTCTGTCACTGGAGATCCAGCTGGCATCTCGTCTCACAGGCCCTGCCTCCCTGCTTACACTGCCCACAGCTCTTTCTGTCTTTGCACATAAAAATTAGTGAGCACCTCCTCTGTGGCAGGCACTCTGCTAGATCCTGGAAATGCAACCTGAATAACACATAGCCCTCTTATTTACTCAGCAAACATTTGTGTGTCCGGGCTCTGAGTTAGATGTGGTAGAGATGAGAAAAAAAAGTCCCTGCCCTAAAGAGGTTCACAGACTTTTGAGAAGATAAGCAACACAAATATATCAATATCTATATTTACATCCATATCTATATCTACATATCTATACACACACACAAAACAGTGTAAAACTGCATTTACTGCAAAACTGTTATAGGAGCATAGAAGAGAGACTACCTATCTCAGCTTGATGAAATCAGGAAAACTTCAGGGAAAGGAAGAAATGGAGCTTGGATGAATATGAATTTGCCAGACAGACAGGATGAGGAGATATTCAGGAGCTTGGATACAATGGGCACTTCAAATCAGACTACTGCACATTATGAACAGAAATTTAAATTGTATTTCACTTCAGTTACTTTCTTTTTTTTTAAGATTTTATTTATTTATTTTTAGAGAGGGAAGGGAGGGAGATAGAGAGAGAGAGAGAGAAACATCAATGTGCGGTTGCTGGGGGTTATGGCCTGCAACCCAGGCATGTAACCTGGCTGGGAATCGAACCTGGGACACTTTGGTTCCCAGCCCGTGCTCAATCCACTGAGCTACTCCAGCCAGGGCCAGTTACTTTCATTTGAAATGGAAATAGCCACATGTAGCTGGTGGCTACCATATTGGACAGAGCAGATTATATCCTTGAAAGGAAGGAGATTGCCTTCTTTCCCCCTTTTCCACTTCTTACTGAAAAGCAGGTGTTGTGGCAAGTCACCTTGGACCATGAAGATGGGACATCACCTGGGGAGTGGAAGGGACTTGGATCCCTGACACCATGTGGCCATCTTGCAGTTGGGTTTATGTTCAAATTGTTATGTGAGAAAGATATAAGTGCTTATACTGCTTAAGCTACTGTGATTTTGGAACTCTCCACAGCAGCCAAATATGTATACTAATAGAAATATCTCCTGGAATAATGAAAAGCAACAATCACAATCTTCACTAAGGCTTTGAGTTCCTTTCCTTTCCTTCTGTGTACCAGGCGCTATGCTAACACTCTAAATGCATGGTCTCATTTAATCCTCACGCACCCTGGCAAGGGAGATAATAGTATACCCCCATTCTTCAGATAAAATGGAGAATTAGGGCTGTCTGATAGCAAACCATGTTCTAGAATACAGAAACCTAAAATCTTATCATTAAAGGCCAGGCAAATTGAGGGTACAACCAGAGTTTTTAAATGCAGAGGTGACATTCATGTTTGTGGCAGACATTCTCTGCAGTCTACCCAGCATCCGTTCATTCCTTCTGCTTGAAAACAGAACCCCATTTTGTCCAGAAAGTGGGCAGGTATTCCTGGACATCAGGAAGGGTAAGTTCCTGCTGCAAAATCCAGGAGAGAAATCCTGACTGGTGTGAACTAGTCATGGGCATCTCATTCCCCTTGACCAGTAAGTGCTCTGAGGATAGGTATGAGGCACAGTTCTGGTTGATGATATGTAAGCAAAAGTCTGATATGAAGGGTGTCCCTCGCCACACAAAGAGCCAAACCCCTGCCCTGAATGAAGATGCAATGTTGGAGGTGTGGCATCCATCATGCAACCAAGAAGACAAAAGCCAACATTATAAGAATGGCAGAGTGGAGAGATAAGTGAAGTCTTTGTTGACATTATTGAACTGCTGCTCCTTGCCTGGACAGCCTACCTCCAGACTTCTTGTGCTATGAGAAAATTAAACCCCAATTTATTTAGGCCACTTACGTTAGCTTTTCAGTTACTTAGAGCTGGAAGGCTTTGTGATACACATACACACATATCTTTTGTTTTCTTAGGAAAAATAAAGAAAGGTCACACAGTTTACAGTGGTATCCCATACACTCTTGGCTAGCCTGTAGAAATCAATTTCCACTTGCTCATCTCCAGTAAGAATCATTTCAGTTTCTCCCCAAAAACACATTTTGGAGAATATGAAAACTAAGCTTAAATAGGTAACAGAGCTCAGACAAAATGCACATTTATCCCCTTTTCACCTTCAAACTAAAAATATTTTTCCCTCAACTACCAATATTTCTTGAATATTGCATATGTATGAAAAGCACTTATACTCTTCTGTTTCAGACTGTTGATATTCTGATATTTTAAAAGAAATCTGTGTGATCTTTCTTAATTGCTGTAGTTTAATAAAAAAGCAGAAATACTAAGCCTAACATTTGTATACTCAATTATCCAGGATAACAAACAAATTCTAAAATATTTTTGAAGGCTAGACATTTTTCAACTAAAGGGAGAAGGATCAAATATTTTTCTAGCCATATGTTAAATAGAGGCACACATCCAAAAACATTCACTATGCTAGCACCTTAACTATGTTTATCTTTAATCTGATTTATAACAGAAAAGATCATATAGTAGCTGGTTTTATACTATTTCATTCACAAAAAGAGATTATTCATCAAGCGAGCACATTTTCCTCTGGGATTTCACAGAATAAATGAGCTAGACACATTTTCTTTCAAATACCAAGCTAGACAAACTATTTCCCAGATAAAATCAGCAAGGTATGAAATAGCAAATTAAGCATTAGTCAGGCAATCTTCAGCATTTTTTTTCTTTGCATTTTGACAGATTCAGTAGAAGTTGAAAAAGCAATGTGAATAAAGACAACATTGGTAAAAAACAAAAACAAAAACAAAAAATATATACCTTAGAGATGATTAATGGTTCTCCGTGCTCCAGGCCACCTTTCAAAGTAAAGCCCCAGGGAGCCCCTCCTTGCAAGAGCGCTTCCAGATAAATGTACCTTCCCGTGGGAGCCCCGTTGGGGTTTCCTGCGCCACCAGTCTCCTCGAAGTTCTCTGTGGTTCTCATCATGCCAAGCACATGATCCTCCAAGTTAAACTGGAAATGCCTGAAGCAGATTCAAGAAAGCGGTGCTTCTATTATCCCATCCTTCAGGATACTCCGACCCAAAGAGCGGTTTTGAGAAACGAAGGCTTTCAGACGTAAAATGTTCTTCCCAGTTTGACTCCAAGATGCTGACCCAGGAAGATTTTTCACTCCGGCAATTCTGTAAAGTCTCCGCCTGGAGCTCCGGGTTCTCGCTGAAGCCGCCGCCAAAGGGTATATATCTCTTCACTCCATCAGAGAAAACTTCTTTTAGCGTTACTCTCGAGATTGCTATTTCACGCATATACACAATAAAACATCCTCTGTATGTTCTACAGAGAAAACTAAGATAGTTTTACAATATGGTAAGAAAATTACAAAACCTCAAATGAATACCTCGTGTTTGATTGATTATCAACCCTTTCTTTTCCTCCGAGTGAAATTTACCATTACAATAGCCTCCCTTCACCCCAGAAGTAGCTTTAAAAGAAAGAAAGCACTTACTATGCTTCAGCTCGCTTCAGAATTTTCAAACTTGTCCCAATGAGACAGAGAAGCTGTGCTAAAATTTTTTTCTTGTTTTTCAGCAGTAAGTTCATAGTTTATTTCTTGCAAAACAAAACCAAAAAAGTTTTGCAGGATGTAGAGAACAGTGAGAAATGCCTGGTAAATTAATCCTCAGTGGACAAAATACCCAGGAGGCAGCCCAGTTCTTTCTTTGGTATTTTCAGTGGTGATCAGCCAGGGCTGCTGCTGCTGCTGCTGCAGCGGCAGCCACTTGCCTGCTCTGAGAGGGAGTAAGGAAGTGAGGGGAAAACGGAGGCAAAAAGAGGCACTGCAACCTTTCTGCACAGTAAGCACTGCCATGCAGAATTCAGTTCAGCACAAAGACCTGACCAATCAACACTGGCTCACAGTTGATAAAATACCATACAGATGGCTAATTACCAGGGAGTAGAAAGTAGTTGATAGAATAGCTCCACCTTGTACCAATTAAAACAGAATCCCTGGGGGTGAGACAGAGGCCTTGGCATTTTTCAAACTCTGGACAATTCTGCCATGCAGCCTGGTGTGAGAAGCAGTGACCTAAGCAGTTTAAGTAAGTGTCAAGAGCTTTATATTTTTCATTAGAAGAAAATACCAAGTATAATATACGAGCAGCCTCTCATCTTGAAATGAGATTCTCCAATCAAATTTCTGCTTGTTTGACTCAATACAAACAGGAGGCAGCTTTTCTTCGCTATTTTAATTACCTACTCCAAGACTGTTATCCATTCTTTAAATGAAAAAAATACTTAATGCCTGGCAAGTAATAGGCACTCAAGGCCGAATATTATTCGATTTCAGCTTATTAGAATTTTGTAATAATGTTCTATAAAATTTAACATTACTACTTTTTATTAAAAGTTTGAACAATACAAGATAACTACATCTTTTACCCAGAAGCCTCAGTTTTAAGTTAGTGGAACAAATTAGAATTATTTCCAAAGAATATGTTTGTTAAAATTTTTCTGTTCAAAAGCATGAGATAATGTAAATTATGTTGGGAGCAGGTTAAAAATTACCATGGGGTTTGATACCAATTTAATTTTGGTTTTTCTACTTATAATTAATGAAAAATTAATATACTAGAAAAGCAGACATAATATGCAATAAGTCTAGACAAGTGTTATTTGATTTTCAGTAGTAACTTCACCTGAGGGGCTCAAAGACAAAATACATGTAAAATCCCATTTTGATGTAATGATAGTGTGGTAGGCAGTTAGACATGGGCACAGCAAGGATGACTGGCCAGGTACAGAAGGTCACCTGAGTGGAAAGCCCCAGGTGCCTAGCAACAGGCGAAACTGAGAAAACAAGGACCTCACCCCCAGGGTAGCCTTTTCTCCCACAGCATATTGCTGGTCATACAGTTTAGATCCCTTGGCCTTTCATATCGCTGGTCATGTGGTATGAAACGGCCTTCCCCTGACGTTTCCTCCCTGGCATGTCACTAGTCATGCATTATACCCCTTGGAGGAGGAACAAGTGGCCAAAGAGAGTGGCCTTACGCAGCTCCCACGTGGGCTCTTGCTGACACTCCCTTAGCATCAACACCTAGGGAAAGCATCTAGGCCCCAGTTGTGTTTCAGCTGTAGGCGCAGAAAAGCAGCAGATCCTGGCAAAGCACACCATAGCTGAACTCAGGACCTGTTGCTTGACCAATGACCCCCTACCCTGGTGCCAACCAGTCAGTGGAGACTACAACCCTGAATGAACACACCTGGAAATCTGATGAATACTCTGTTGAGATTCTCACCTGGAGCCTCCCCTGAAATTTCCATCCTTAAAAGCCCTTAAGATGAAGGACCCTGCCTTGCTCTCCCCTCCACGAGCAGGCCAGCACCTTTTCTGGCTCCCTTCTCTTGCCAAAGGCACATTACCTTTACCTTCTCTCCCCTAGGCTCCAGGGCCCCTCCTTTTGTCTCCGTCACTTGTTTCCTGAGACTATTTCTTCTACTGCTCACTGTTTCTACCTCTGTGACTTTCTAAATAAACTTTTTCTTATATTTGAGTCTTATCTCTGAATTCTTTCCTAGCCAGAACTCAGGTGCCAATGTTGCTAAACCAAGGCCCGGCCTGACCTGCCAGTCCAACACCCAGTGCTGTTTTAGCCGCCACCAACAGCAGTATCTCAGGGGAAACATAAAGTGTACCAAATGAAGGTACATTATATTTTTAAATAAATCCATAAGTAAATAAAAAATATTTTCTGGAAGTTATTTTTGTGGCACTTGTGATCTTACTCCTGGTTCACTTTGTAAAATAATGGGATTTTCCAGAATCAATATTTATTATTAAAAGTAATGAAGCTGAAAAAAGGCAAAGGAAATTTAAAAAGTTAAGCAGTGAAGAAAAGAACTCAGCGCTTATAGACTGATGAAACCTCTATATTATCACCAGAAATATTTGACATAAATATTTAATGAAAGTCGATATGTAATCTAAAAAGAAATATAGTGGACTTTCAGAGTGACAACTGACAGATCAAAGTTAGAACAACTTTTTCCCATCTCCCATTGCTCGGATTTACAGCATGGTAAAGCTGTAAGGGATAAACTGCCCCAAACCCGTCCTTCCCCTGCATTTGTTTTTAGAGGTAATGACGCAAAAGCCAGAAAATGTTAAATGATCTGACTAGTCATTCTACATGCAGAGTAATGAGCATAAAATTAAAATCTTATACACTTAGGAAAGGAATCTCGCTTAAGACAGGTTTTCTGCATATTATATAGCACAAAGACAACTTTCTATGAGGCCAGCATCTGTAGTTCATAAAGGGAACTTTCAGTTAGGGCATGTAATTTGGGTCCAAATTCTAATTAGAGAATGAAATCGGACCCTGCCTCCTCCTCAGAGAGAGAAAACAACCCTGTGGTCTCAAGGTGCTGACAGTGGGACAAACAGGACTGTAAATGAGAGAACAGTGCAGTCGTCTTTCTAAATCCTTGCCAGGGGATTCAGGCTTTCTGGTGGAGGACTTTTTCTTTTTCTTTTTTTTTTTTCCTGCCTGCTCCATATCTCTCTGGGGCACCACACCTTAGCCTATCCTGTGGTGCTTGTGGGCTAACCCTGCCTCTGGCTCCAGGGGTGGAGGTGTGAACCAGTGTCAAATGATTAGGTTATGAATGGGCGTGTGATTTAAGCTTGGCCAATGTAAGAACTAGAAATTTTCCTGGAGCTAACAAAAAAGGGGCATTCTCTCCTACTGCTAAGCTGGCCAGTACTATTCCAGAGTTCCTGTGGTCATTGTTGCCATCACAAGCCCCAAAAGGAAGAAGCCAACCCCTAATAAATCGATCTGAGATATGGAGACAGTGTTCTGGTAATACCATGTAAGCCCCAGGCCCATTGTACCTTACTTACACAGCAATTCTCAAAATTTTTGCCTTCAGGACTCCTTTACACTCTTAAAAATTATTGAGGGCTCCAAAGAAGTGTTATTTGTGTTGTATCTATCAGTATTTACTGTATTCAAAAATTAAAGCTGAAAAGAACATTTAAGGTATTTTTAATTCATTTGAAAATAACAAATTCATTATAGTATGTTAAAATCACTAACATATTTTCAAGAAAAGTAATTATATTTTCTCAAACGGAAAAATTACTGAGAAGCAAGGCATTGTTTTACATTTTTGCAAATCTCTCTAATGACCAGTTGAGCAGAAGACATTGGGCCCTAACCTCTACTTCCCCATTCTGTCTGTTTGATATCACGTATCATACAGAAAACTCCACGATACACTTGTGAGAGAACAAGTAAAAAGAGCAAACTAGGTCTTACTATGATAAAAATGGTTTTGACTTTGAAGACCCAAAAGGGTCTCAGGGACTCCCCCAGATCCCCAGACCACACTTGGAGAATCGCTGCCTAACCAGATACAGCATACCTGAGGCTCCCTCTCTCGTATCAGTTTTGTGAGCCTGCAAATACCTGTTTATTTTTTCCTTAAACAGTTGGAGTTGGATTTTTGCTACTTGCAACTGAAAGAGTTCTGAGTAATACACAATGAAACCCTTCACGGTTCAAGAGAAAGTTTGGGGAAGCTTAGTGCTGTCTCCCTGACACTTTTGAATCTTTCTTTCTACAGGTTTCCTCCTTCCTTTTGCCTCTAACTTAGAAGAATTACTGCTCTCTTAATCTAGTTCTTTCCTTCATGACAAATGGATCAAACACAGCTCACAACTTTACTTTCTCTGTATGAAGAAAATCCCCACTGGTGGTGATGGAGTTTGGTTGCTCTGTTACTGTGAGTGCGACTCCAGGGCAGAAAGGTATTTCCATCGTGTTGACACTCTCATCCATCTGGCGTGCCTGCACTACTCTTTTAAATGTTATTTGCCCAATCACTTCTTTGACTTCTTAGAAATTACGCACTGCTCTATTTGTTAGCATCACCTAAGAAAAAGTTAATTTGTTCTTTCCAAAATTCTCACTTCCTGATTTTAATTTTTTCATACTAAGGTGTAACAATTTTCTCTTTATCTTTACTAATGCTTTAAATAGCACTTTTAAGTTACAGGATTTTTTAAATGCCTCTGAATTTAATATTTCAAAGATTGAAAATGTCATTAGATTACATCTGAAAATAAAGTCAGAGTGACATCTAGTGGATGTTTTAACTAAATAATTATTAAAGTAATGACAATAAATTATTAAATTACAGGTTTGGAACCTTATTTAAAATAGTAGACAGTCTCAGAACCATCCTAAATAAACAAAAATTAACTGTATTTTAGTTTTAAATTTTTAATTGACTTTTAGAGAAAGAGAAAGAAACATCGATTTGTTATTCCACTTACTGATGCATTCATTGGTTGATTCTTTTTTTTGTAAGATTTTATTTATTTATTTTTAGAGAGGGGAAGGGAGAGAGAAAGACAGGGAGAGAAACATCAGTGTGTGGTTGCTTCTCACATGCCCCCTACTGGGGACCTGG